ATGTAAATAACAAAACTAAATAAAAAATTTAAATCAAGACGACAAAAAAAATATATAAAATTAAAAATCTAAACAAAATAGCAAAATTTAACACAACAAAAAAGAATAAATACAAATATAATTAATTTCTGAAGTTCTGGAAAGTTCTCTGACTGATAAACACATTAAGCTCCTACTTTCTAGTCAATGGTTTAGAAAGTAGGCGTGGCCTTGAGGCTCCGCCCTCTTGTGAAAATCTAATTTCTTCTGTTCATTCCATCAAGGCCAGTCCAAAAGAAAAACGTAAACACAGTTTCTAGATCATGAATTATAACTATTTGCGCACAAAATAAATGTTTGCATCCCCAAAGACTGCATTTGGACTGTGCTGTAGGTGAGGATTGAGGTGTTTTGTCAAACCTGGTCTCTTTAGTAGTGATGACGGTCGGCAGCTGATTAGCAGCGAGCCAGTTCCACACCTCCGTCTGATCCTGGTCTCCTTTATACTGCAGTTTAATGCACCTGAACACACAGAGAGGAACAACTCAGACGTCTACACAGACCAGAGCTGCCCTATCCGGCACAAACCGAGGATCGTGATTGGTTTAAAACTGTGAGCCTGAATCACAAAAACACGCAAAAATATAATATAACTTACTTAACTATAACTTATTTAATGAAAAATCATAAAAAAAGAAGAGGTCATTGTGTTACCGCAACCACGTTTGCAGGCATGTCATAAATTATTTACATAAGAAACATCATATTTAATATAATAAAAGACATTTTAATAATTATCTTATGTATCTTCATGGAAAGTCATGAAATATCGGCATAAAAAAAAAATGTCATCAAAACTCCAAAGATAATATATAAATATATATATATATATCAAATATATAGTGATGTAATTTTGAATTAATGATTTAAAATCAATGACTACTAGAGGAATTAGCATGTTTGAAATAATCTATAAGGAATAATTCAGTATTAAAAATAAGTTTTAGGGTGCTTTCACACTTGGCTCAATTGCCTGGAGCGTACCCAAGTTCGATTGCCCCCCCCTTGCCACCTTCTCCATTAGTTTGTGTTCACACTGTCTTTTTTCCTTTTGCACGCCGGTACGCTTGCGTCGTCGAGCTGCTGTTTTGTTTACAGCTGTTGCTAGGTGACGGTCATGAAAGCAAGTGGCGAAATGGAAAGACGTCCGCACATCGCGGTCATTCTGCTTTTACTGAAGCTTTTGGTTCAGGACATACAGAAAGCGACTCGCGTCCATCTGCCGCAAACATATAAACATTCAGAACATCACACAGTGTTCTGAATGTTTATAATATGGCATTTTAGATCAAAAATGATCCGCGTCCACACTAGCGTTTCTGAACATATCTCCGTCCACGCTACGCCACCAAAAACATATATCACGTGACCATTCGCGCACTCTGGGCATGCTCGTTCTAGTATAAACAGAAAGCATGCATCTCCCTCTGCATTTGGTTATTGTTAGTCAATAAACGCCGGTTGAACATTTAACGCGATGGCAAAGAAAGCAAGAGAGGTATTTTTGTGGACAGACGACGAGGTCGAGTTGTTACTAAACGTAACAAATGAATAACTGCAGAATGGCGCCTAAAACAGACAATAGTGCAAACAACGCTCCCATTTCTGTGTCCATGTTGTTGTTTACAGTGAAGGCTGGTCTGCTGTCTTCCCGTAGCGTTAAAGCCATGTGTTATAGTCATGTGATAGGGGCTTGACGAATAAGAGAAGAATACGCAATGACACAAAAGCCCCAATCAGCTAGCGAATCTCAACCTCAGTTTTCTGATGTCTCCGTTTTCCCCCATCCACACTGAGACGGAGCAGCAGCGTTTCAGAATGAAAACGGCCTCTCCAGCATTTCCAAAATGCTCCTCTTTTGCCGCTCAAAAACTCTGGCATAGTGTGGACGGATGGCTTAACCGTAGCAAAACGTATGCATTTTAAAACGAAAACGCATTAGTGTAAACAGGGCCTGTGTTTGCCCTGGCTCAGTTCCGATTGCCACCAAGGTACAATACGTGGCGCACGCACACACACACACACACACAAACAAAAAAAACACAAGTTATGAAAACGATAGTTTGTTGTACAGTTGGCGGTTCACTTCCGTTATTTGGTACGATTGCATTCACATCAGAAGTGAACCGTACCAGAGTTCGCATGAAACGTACCCCAGACCACCTCTTTCAGGCGGACTCGGGTACGGTTTATGGGTGCGCACCCGAGTTCAGAAGACACGTTCACACTAGCTAAACATACCGTACTCTGACGTCAAACGAACCCGGGTGTGAACCAAAAGTGCTAATGTGAAAGCTCCCTTTGTAGCTTGTCGCCTCCAGCTGGCATAATGTAGTTACTACAACCTCTCTTAGACTTGCTATCAAACAATGCTGGTAATTTTTACCATAAACACAAGCCTTTAAATCTGAGCGGTTATTCTTTTATGTGCGTAATATTTTCATTTTTGTCACTGTCAATATTTATAATAGGCAGTATGCTAGGTGTTTGTTAGGTTGGGTTTAAAATCAATAAAAATAATCAATCAATCTCTGTTAAAACAATGTGCTTTGCATACAAATACAGAAAAAAGCTCATCCAGACACTTCTGTGACTATTTGATTGTACGCAACACAGAAATGATTTTATTGGTTGAAAGAATAAAGGCTGAAGACGTTTCAAACCGATTTAAATGTACAGCTGTTAAAGGTATAATAGGTGTATGCAAATCAACATCGTTTATAATTAAGAGATTGCGATGGAGTTTGCATTAGTGCAGCTCTCGGAGAGAAATGAGTTATACTGAAACTCACTTGAAGGTCAGTCCCTCAAACACTGGAGTCAGCGGAAGATTAAAGGTCTGGCAAAGAGTCAGCGATGTGTCGAAAAGTCCAGCCTGGACGAGCAGAGCCACCATTTCCTGAGAAGACGCTCCTCCTGGAGGAGAAACAAGAGCAGATAAAGACCTTAAAACTGTGTGTGTGTGTGTGTGTGTGTGTGTGTGTGTGTGTGTGTGTGTAAGATTAACAATAAAATATTTAAGCAGGAATACACAATGTCATGATGAGAAATAAGAGAGTATTAAAGGGATAGTCTACTCAAAAAAAAAAAAAAAAAAAAATCACAAAAGAAGATAGTTTGAAGAATATTGGCAGACATTGACATCCATAGCAGGAAAATAAATTGCATTAAAGTCAACTGATGGCTGCTTTCAACATTCTGCAAACTAACTTCTTTAATATGCAGTGTGTGTGTGTGTGTGTGTGTGTGTGTGTGTCTGCAATATTAACAACCAAAGATTTAAGCAAGAACACACAATGTCATGAGAAATAAGAGAGTATTAAAGGGATCGTTCACACAGAAAAAAAAACATAAGATAGTTTGAAGAATGTTGGTAGGCATCGAGATCCATAATAGGAAAATAAACTGTATTGAAGTCAATGGCTGAGGCTTTCCAACATTCTTCAAACTCCTTTTCAGCCCTGGAGTTTCAAGCATTAGACCGGCCCACCTCAGTTCACGACTGACTATATTAAACTAAGGTCATTTCCAATTCAGTTTCTAATGACACGATCACGTCTTTTTAAAGAAAACAGCTGCTTTAGAACTTCAAATGTTCAACAACCTTACAGTTTTATATGTCTAAACAATAAAAAAAAAAAAAATAAATAAATAATTTACTCAGGTGAGGGTCGAACACGGATCGACGACGTCGTAACGCAACGTGCTGACCACTGGAGCACAATGGCGCTGTTACGCTTGTGTGGCCGGAATGATAGTGACATCATCATTACCCTGCAGGCTGCATTTTGCTCATGGGGCTGCGAGACCATAAATAAGAAGAGCGGAGCTGCGGCAAAATAATGAATAAAAAGAGCGAATAAATAAATAAATAATGAAAAAAAGTGCAACTGTTGAGAGTGCAAGCAGCTGGAAACACCAGCTCTCACGGCCAAAAAACGTAATTACAGACAGCATAAATATAATAAAGCACTGAAAAATCATAATAACAAAAATCTTCACAATAATTATAATACAATATATAATAATATAATATATGATGATAATAATAAGACCTCAATCTAATTAAAAAAAGTTACTTATCCGCTTGAGTGGTGACGTGTTGGTTACGTATGTAATACTGTTTCCGGGTCCAAGCCGCCATTCATTTGAGTGGAGAAATCATTCGTTTATGATCACTTTTTATTCATATCACACATTAAAGGTAATTTTATATAAAATCATTGTGTACACAACAATCTCTGGGCTTGCTGCATAACAAAAACCAAAAATTTAACAATTTATAAAAAAATAATCACTTTCTGGCCATCGGATATTAGGCATGGACATATATACTGCGATCGTGATTTTCGAAAGCATTAAATCGATTTGTAAACGTTTATTATTACCATTTCACGAGTCTCCCCATTCAGTTGAATAGAGCGCTTGGACCCGGAAGCCGCTTCGCGTGACGTCACACTTAACAAACGGATTAGCCATATATTTTAAACAATGCATCAAAATTAGCCAAATTTAGCTGTATACATACACTTTTTATTCAACGTAACGTTTCTTTAAAAAACAATTGTTGGTGGAAAGAGTCCACTGATTCATTTAGTAATTGCTAAAATTTAACAAAAACTTATGAGAAATATCATTTATTTGTCATTCAATTCTCTTAACATCGGCTAGTTTTGATGTCAGACAGTATTTTGCACATATTTAAATGTTCACCTCACAAATCGACTAGCAGCCTTCCCTCATGCACTATCAGTGAGATTTTTTATTTCCTTACCTACAAAAGCGGTTGATAATCTGTTCAATTAACTATTAAAGTTTTCTGGTCAAAGTATGCAAGACCCATCGAATCAGATTTTAATGTTTTTTAAGGCTTTTTCGTAAAGAATTTGTTACTGAAGACTTTAAGGACGCACGGGCACCCTGTTATGTGTCAAAAATATGCTAAAAGTGTTGAATATACACCTGCGATGGCTGCGGACGGAGGATCCTGCTGAGCCAAAGTCAGCCGACTCCGAGCGAGAACATACTCCTTCTCCAGATCTTTCAGCTCCAGAATGTCGATCTGTTGATTTACTGACAGCACATGACAAACATCTATGAGATGTGTACAAGAGAAAACAACAATATAGCCAACAAACATGCTATTTATATAATAAAAAAAATCATATTAAACACCACTAAAGGTGCTTTTTGACTCTTCTAAAGCATAAAAATGCCATAATGTTGGCAGATATTTTAGAAACATGCTCAGTGAATATTCTTGTTTATCTGAGAAACACTGCTGAAGTAAGATATTCTGCTGTGAAAATGTGCGTTACGTGCCAAAACCTGTCTTTGTTTTGGTTCCTTTAACCCGCTTAATGCCAGTTTAGCCAATTATAGTTCAGCACCCCGAGTTGCCTTGGTGGAAAACCACATATTTCAGTCAGTCAGGAAGACTCTCAAGTATGCGTCCGTGACTGAAATGCGACCTCTGATGGACAGTAGCAGACTCCGAATTGAGTTATACAACCTTCATTTGGCTTAATTCCCACCATTTTTGATCTGTTTTAGATCTTGTTTTCACAAGAGACCAAAATAAAAAACCTTTATTTTATGATTTGTGCCATTGCCATTTTGACAGATTGTACACATACAGATAG